GTTGTTATTTAAGTCTAGTTAAAATTCTAAGTCTCGTTAATAATATATGGTATTATGCTAATCTCTTTAAAAGTTAGAATCGGTGTTTACATTCATTTTAAATGTTAAATTAAGAGTAAACGGCTTTTTTCCACCCAAGGTTTGGCCTAATGACACTTTTCCACTCAAAATATTTCAAAATGACACTTACTATCCTATGTTTGTTTAAATATAGTGTATACAAGTGCCTTATACATTCAGTAAATTGTAGTTTGTTTCACTCAGTATTTAATTATTAAAAACAAAACATAGTGTGAGAATTGTTCTACTTGAGATGATTTTAATTGAATAAAGGCTTGCGTTTTAAGGTTTTTGAATGCTTAGAAACTCTAATAACTAGTAATGAAATTTATTTTGAGATATCAAGTTTTATGCATAGTAAGCTCATTGAATTGTTTGTATATATGCAAATGTTGATAGTGAAAGCTCAAAGGGATAAAATTGATATTAACATGCAATTAGATTGATTAATAATGTTATTGAAAGTTTGAGTTTCTAAAATTCCATGTAAGATCTAATGCTTTTAAGTTTCAGATTATGTTATGGTGTAGGAATGAAAATTTTGTATGTTTAGGACAAATACCGGTAGAAAATGTTTTTTTGCTATCAATTGACGTAGATATATAATTCATAATATGCTATTTGTTATAAACAAAAAATGATATGATTATAAATGATGACCTCGGAAATAAGTTCTTATTATGGGATTGGTTTTTTTGAGGTATAAGCGTGTACAATGTGTTTGCTTATATATACCAAAAGATTATAATTTGTGGAATTTTTTATTATCATTTATAGTAGATTTCTATCAATTGCTTTAAGAAAAGTATGAACATCAAGCACGATATGCCGGACATTGTATTGATTTTTAATAACCACTATTGATATGATTGATCACATCACTTAGTTAGGGTACAAATGATATTGGTGTTTGATTAAACTTCATTTGATAACATAAAATTAAAATTGAATTCGATAATAACGTTGTTATGACTTTGTTGGAGTTAAATTGGATTTGATTTTTGTTTGTGGTTGGCATGATTTGAAGGCATAAATTTATTTAAGGTTCTTACGAATTCTATTGGTTGGTCATCTAAAGTTGTTTATTTCATAGAAAGAGTCATGTTATTTAAGCATCCACCAAATTCATGTAAATTCTATAAAAATAAATTTTATTAACTAAAATTATAAACCTATTTATATTTAAAAATAATATTTTATCTTCTTTTCTTATAATCTAACTCAATAACCCTCATACTGTCTTCAGTAATAGTAACACTAATCCAATGCAAATTAACTAATTCCATGAGCATTTAGCTAGCAAGGCTTGACCTAAGAGTCAAATTTTTTTAGCTAATGATTGGAGGGAAGAAACCAAAAGGCTCTTGGTTTTCCATTGAATTGGATGGAAGAAGATAGAAAGTATCATTAGAATATGAGAACAGTATGTGTACTATCAAATTAAACTACCAAAATTCAATAAATAACAATCAATATTTTTATACTTTTAAACTCTTTCATTTCGTATTCTAACAAGTCTATCTTTTATAACTTGATAAAGGTTTATGATTTGCAGTTTGCAAAGATGATCTGGTGCCTTATAAAAGTATATGTTTTTGTGTGTTAATTTATTTTCTTGAATATTAAATTTTTTTATCCTAATCAAGACGTGTTGATTTATTATAAATATATATAGGAAAGAAGACAAGGTTACTAGAGGATGTGCAATTTTATTTAATAAATTTATTTTTATGAAGTTTAGAAACTAGGAAGAACCTTAATGGGGCTCAGATAACGACATCTTATAGAAATTTCGAAGATAAAAATTTGTCTGTGGTTTGGTTATAATGACTGTAGATGCAAAAAATCTACCGTCATGAAACTAGGGTCTGATCCCGTGGATTGAGGTCACTGACAATCCGCTAGACCTGCATACATGAAAGGACAAGCATGAAGCTTCCAGAAAACACCAGGGTGGTGTTTGCCGAAGGCACTCTGACGCTCAAGTCAGCAAGGTGAAAGAGATTATTTGATAAGAATTAAGGAGATGAAGAATTACCAGAACTCTTGTCGGAAGCTAGGACTACGGCAGAGGCATCGGGTTCTTAGGAGCAAGAACTTTAGGAACAAATAGATGGTTTTGAGTAGTGTAGATTGACTATTGGAGATTCCCCTTTATAAGAGGGCAGACCTCTGTTTATATAGTAACTCGAGGGGTTGGAATCTTAGTAAGACACTGAGTGCTACTTTGGGAGATAATCACTATCAAGAAAGAGATAGGATTTTTTTTTTTTATCAGAATAAGTTTATTGTTTGAGTAAGGTTCAAAATCTCAACAAAAGAGGAAATAGAATATGATTCCGATTTCCTATTTATGGACTATTGTAAGCTAAGGGGCTGGAACCCATTTCAGCTTAAATTGTAGAATATCCCAACTCATAAAGTGGGCAGTTCACAAGGTGATTAAGCATAAGCTCAATCGAGCTTGGGCTAAGACCTTAGGTCGTGACATGTTATTTCGTTTTGGGGCTCGTCAAGCCCAAGACGATTTTTGGCCCTAACAGTTAGCCCCCACTCTCTAAGTTAAGAGTATTTAGCTTAGAGAGTAGATTTAATCGAATGAGTGCAAACTGAGCGGATTAGTGATAGAGCTCGTTAGGTCGAATGGACCGTTGTGTGGATTAGGTTGATGACTTGTCGATTTGAGGTGCAGTCCTTCAATCAGTCTGGGCCAATTGAATGTGTAAATCTATAAATCGGTCTGGGCAGATCAAAGTGTGAATCAATAAATCATTCGGGCTGATTGAAGGTATGAATCAATAAACCAGTCTTGGCCGATTGAAGGTGTAATTCTATAAATTGATCTGGGCCGATTGAAAGTGTGAATTTATAAACGGTCTATGTGATTGAAGGTATAAATAAATAAATCAGTCTAGGTTGATTGAAAGTGTAAATTTATAAATCGGTGTGGGCCAATTGAAGGTGTAAATCATAAATCGGTCCGGGCCGATTCAAGGTGTAAATGTATAAATCGGTCTGAGTTAATTAAAGGTGTAAAGCAATAAATCGATCTGGGTCGATTGAAGATGAAATCAATATATCGGTCTGGGCCGATTGAAGGTGTAAATTACAAAGTGGAGCTTGTGGTTGAGTCAACGTGACCGACTGTTGTTGAAATTAATGTATTAGGCCTGTGGCCAATTGATAAACCAATTATAGTTGAAAAAATTATAGATATTGAGTTCGATGCCATGTCGGCGTGACCGACTATTGATGTAATTGGGTCTTGAATCCGAGTCGATGTAAATCAATTGTAGTTGAAAAAATTTGTAGATGCCAACCGAGGCCTTGTTGGTGTGACCGAATTTTGATGTTATTGGGCCTCGCGTCCGAGTCGATGTATTCAATTGAAGGTAACATAGTAGACGATTTGAAACAACTTCATATGGTATTTTGCATGGTATGCTAGTTATCCACAATAAATTGAATAAGAGAAGTATGATGCGGATGTGCAAGACCAAATGAAAGATAAAACTCAGATGTTCATGCCTGTATCAAGTAAAGCCATATGGAGAAGTGATGCAAAACCAGGGAAGAATAATCTGACCTGAGAAATGACATTCTGGCATGATGTTTTTAGCAACAAGCTTTCCCCTTCAAAGTGTCGCACCCATGCTCCTGGTCAATCATTACAGCTTTAGAGGGGTTTCTATTCTTTGTAGAGTAGTTTGCCTTGGAGTTGGTGAAATGGCATCATTTGATCGTTTTTCATGCTAGCCGAGTGAAACTTGGCTTTGCTATGGTTGCTTGAGTTCGATTTCAACAAGTGGAGGAGTTCAGTCTATTGACAACGAGCATGATTAGGCCAAGTTGACTGTAACTGATTCTGTCTAAGCGTGTATGAGTGGTTGAATGGAGGTTCTGGAGATCTCGATTCATCTTGGAGGATGCAACCTTTGAAGGTGTCTTTTGTGGAGTCTTGTTTTCATATTATGCGGTAGCCAGACTGACTACAAGAAGGTGGCTTGGCCTTCGATGGTGTGACGCTAATGTGCATCCTTAGTGGTGATGGGTTTTTTAAGCTTTGAAAAGGAAGCTTTTGGATTTGATAACTTATCGATTGGTATGCTGTCTGAAGGCTTTTTCTTTTCGACTCAGTCTGCAAAGCTGATTGAATTATGTTGAAAAGAATAGTTCCCAATAAGCGCTTTCAGCAAAAGGGTTCTTGGTTTCAAGTTGGTTCATTCAGTGGGCCAAGTCGAGTGGAGGGTGAGCCTTCGTTCATTGCCGTGTTCGATAGAAAGTCTAGAATTCACTTGTGACCAGAGCAATCCTATATTTACAAATCTTTAGAGATAAACAATGGTCTCTTTGGAGGGTAGCAAAACTAAGAAAAACAAGGGAATGGAGAGAAAAAAACTAAGAAACATAAGGGTTGGAGGAGAAAAATTGTAAAGATTTGAAGAGAATTCACCATACCGCTTGAAGTGGTGAGTATTTCTATTTATATAGATATACAGAATAATCAATCTAGAATCAATCTAGATATTTACAAATCAATTACAGTGAAGATGATGGAAAGAATATTATAGAATCAAGGCTAGAATCATGGGTCAAAATATTATGTCTTAGATTAGGCGAAGTTCCTCAACACCCCCCCGCAAGCTAAGCGTCGGGTTGGAACAGACGTGAAGTTGGATCAAAAAAATTCAAAAAGTGGTCGAGAGATACTTTTGGTGAAAATATCGGCAACCTGTAGGTGCAATGGAATAAACTGAGTGTGAAGTTTGCCAGAAACACAAGCTCCCGAAGAAAGTGATAGTCTAATTCAACATGCTTGGCTCGCTTGTGGGAAACCGGATTTGAGCTCAAAAAATGGCACTTTTGTTGTCACATGAAGAAGAGGCCGCTGTGGAAGAGACACATTTAAGTCTTGAAGAAGGTGCGTAATCCAAAGGAGTTCAGCAGCAGCATGTGCAAGGGCCGAATTCAGACTCACAGCTTGAACGAGAGACTGTGGGTTGTTTCTTAACACTCCAAGAAATCAAATTTCCTCCAAGATAGATGGAGTAACCGGAGGTAGACCGGCGAGTATCAGGGCATCCTGCCCAATCAGCATCAGAGTAGGCAATGAGAGCAGTGGGAGTGGCAGAGGAGCAGAAAGTGATGCCAAAATGAAGAGTGCCTTTGATATAGTGAAGAATTCGCTTGACTGTGAGAAGATGATCTGTTGTTGGAGCATGCAGGAATTGACTGACAGAGTTGACAGCATGGGCAATATCTGGTCGTGTGATGGTCAAGTATTGAAGGGAACCAACTAGAGATCTGTAAAGAGTAGGATCTGAGAACAGAGGACCCTCAGCAGACAAGTGATGAGATACAACCATAAGAGTGTGGACTGGTTTGCTGTCAAGTAACTAAGCTCGAGTAAGAATGTCCCGTGCATATTTCAGCTGACTGTTGAAAAGACTATCTGTTGTTGTCGAAGCTTCAAGGCCAAGAAAGTAGCTGAGAGGACCTAAATCCTTAGTGGCAAACTCAGAGTTGAGTTTGCAGGTGAATCTGTGGATGAGAGATGAGTTGTTGCTAGTAATAATAATGTCATCAACATATAGAAGCAAATAAATTATATCAGAGTTTTTATGGAAGACAAATAGAGAAGTATCAGCTCGACTGCAAGAGAAACCAAGCTGAATAAGGAAGGAGCTAAAGCGTTGGAACCAGGCACGAGGTGCTTGCTTTAGGCCAGAAAGAGCTTTCTTTAGCTGACAGACATGATTAGGAAAACGAGGATCAATGTATCCAGGAGGCTGTTCCATGTACACATGTTTAGTGAGAGTGCCATTAAAAAACGCATTCTTAACATCAAGTTGGTGAAGGGGCCATTTGTTAGTCACAACAATAGATAGCACAACACGAACAGTGGTAGCCTTGATAACAGGACTAAAGGTATCAGTGTAGTCGAGACCAGGTACTTGTGTATAGCCTTTGGCAACAAGACGAGCTTTGAGACGCTCAATGGATCCATCAGACAGATATTTGGTCCTGAACACCCATTTAGAGCCCACAATGTTGGTGTTAGCAGGTCTAGGAACCAAAATCCAAGTGCGATTGTTTTGCAAAGCTTGCATCTCTTCATCCATGGCAGCAAGCCAGGCTGGATTCTTTGCAGCAGATTTGAATCCTTTAGGCTCAGTAGACGTAAGAAGAGCACAAAGAAGACCAGATGAGCGCAAGACACCAAGGTTCATCGGGTGGCGAGTTTTAAAAATGCCAGCTTTGGCTCGTGTGATCATAGGGTGACAGCCCAATGGAAAAGCTGGAGCTAGAGTGACATCATGAACTTGAGAAACGGTGTCAGGCTCAACAGAAGATAGTATATGGTTTGAGTGCACTGAAGGAGAACCTGCAAAAGAGTTAATAACCTGCACAGACTCATCCACTAGGTCAATACAAATAACACACGGGTTAGATCCAGATGGAGTAATGGTAGGAGAATAGTGCGCGGGGTAAGGGGAAGGTGTGTCTGTAGGGGATGAGCTAGGTTCCAAAAGGTTGGAAAATTGAAGAGATGAGAGAGGTTGAGCTTGAGAGGATTCTAGAAAGGGGAAGTGATGTTCATCAAACTGTGCATGTCGAGTGATGTATATTCTAGAAGTGGTGGGATCAAGGCAACGAAACCCTTTATAGGAGGGACTATATCCCAAAAAAATACAAGGTATGCTGCGAGGAGAAAATTTGTTAGACATATAATCACGCAAACAAGGATAAACACGACAGCGAAAATGATGGAAATTGTCATAATTCGGAGAGGAACCATAAAGAAGCTCAAAAGGGGACTTACCTCCAAGAAGCGGTGTGGGCAAGCGGTTAATGATGTAGACTGCAGTGCTGAAGGCGTCAACCCAGAAGCGAGGAGAAAGATGGGAGTGGAAAAGAAGAGCCAGGCCAGTCTCAGTCACATGGCGATGTTTCCTTTCGGCGCGACCATTTTGAGCAGGGGTATATGGGCAAGAGAGTTGATGATGGATGCCAGAGGCGCGAAGGTGCACTTGGAAACGATTACTAGTAAATTCTGCACCACCATCACTTTGAAAAGATTTTATACGCACAGAATATTGATTTTCCACAAATTTTTGAAATTGAAGAAAAATATCGTAAATTTCATATTTTAAACGTAAATGGTATAGCTAAGTGAAGTGAGAAAAATCATCAATGAATATAACATAATAGACAAAACCTAAATTGGATTTGATCGGAGAAGGACCCCATATATCACAATGAATTAAGTCCAACACATTAGATGATCGATGTTCATTACGCGAATAAGGCAAACGATGATTTTTTGCAATTTGACATGTACTACAAAGTTTTGGAGAAGGCAATAAGGATGTAAGATAAAGGTAACCTTTTTTATTTAAAAAAGAAATAATGGAGTGATTTACATGTCCCAAACGAGCATGCCATAAATCATATGATGCATGAAGTGATTTATTTTTAAGAACAGAAAGAAAGGTCGGATGTCCACGCTCCAGCACATATAAGCCTCCATCTCATTTACCGGTTGCCACCACCCTTCCCGTTTGGTGATTCTGAACAGTAAAAGAGTCTTTAGTAAAGGTGACAGATAAAAGAAAATCAGAAGTTAATTTACCAATAGACAAAATATTTTTTGTTAAATGAGGAACTACCAAAACATCAAGTAAGTGAAGATTTGGGTTAGGAGAGATGGTACCAGTGTGAGTTATAGGTAGAGAAGCACCATTTCCTACAATCACACAATCCTTACCAGTGTAATTATTAGAGTGATCCAGAGTGGATGGGCTGGTGGTCATGTGAGCCGAAGCCCCTGTGTCCAAATACCAATCGGTGGCTTTATTTTCGGACATAGAGCAAGAGGCATTGAAAGACTCAGCAAGATGAGTAGAGTTGGCAAGCCGAGTGTACCTCTAGTTGCAACGATCAGCGTAATGGCCTTCGGTCCGACAAATCTGACATCGCGGAGGGCGACGTCCTTGATCAGAAAAGTTGCGTCCATGGCCACGATTGGAAGAGCCATTATTGCCAGTGCGCCCGCGATTGTTGCGCGAGGAAAGACCTTTCTGGTTCGCACGATCAAAGGTGCGATTTGTGGCTGTGAATGCTGCTGTGGAAGGACTGGAAGTTTCAAGGGATTTCTGGAACATTTCAAAACTTTCAGCTTTGGATACGAGATCGCTAAAGCAAGGGAGAGGGGTAACAGCCATCTGCGCAGTGGAGAACGACGAGAACTCAGCGCCAAGTCCTCGTCAGAACCAATGGATTTTGTCGGTGCCATCAACTGGTCGTCCAATGGCATGGAGTTGGTGACAGAGTGCCTTGAAAGCACGAGAGTATTCAGAGACAGAGCGTGGTCCACGCTTCATCAATTGAAGATCTTCTTTGAGACGAATCTCGCGAGCTTTGGAGCGGTGGCTGAAGGTGTTTTCCAAGGCGAGCCAGACTTCGCGAGAAGTGGAGAGGCCAATGACCTCAGCCATGGCTTCTTCGGTGAGGGAGGAGAGGAGAAGGCTGAGAAGCCGCTGATCAGTGGTTTTCCACTTCAGATATTTGGGATTTGGTGTTTTAGAGTTGGGTGGGTCAAATCGTGAAGGAGGCTCAAGAGTGCCATTAACGTGCTGGAGTAGTTCTTGACTTTCAAGAAGAGGAAGAAGTTGACTTGTCCATAGGAGGTAGTTGGAGGAGGACAGCTTGATTGTTACCATGTGAATCATGGTGTTGAAAAGGAGGAGGGTGGGATTAGATTCGGTAGCCATGGAGAGGTTGAAGGATCGATGGATGTTAAGCCAAGACAGCTCCTGATACCATGTAAAGATTTGAAGAGAATTCACCACACTGCTTGAAGTGGTGAGTATTTCTATTTATATAGATATACAAAATAATCAATCTAGAATCAATCTAGGATATTTACAATCAATCTAAAATCAATCTAGGATATTTACAAATCAATTACAGTGAAGATGATGGAAAGAATATTATAGAATCAAGGCTAGAATCATGGGTCAAAATATTATGCCTTAGATGTAGGCGAAGTATCCTCAACAGAAATAGCATTGACTTAGTCGTCTGTTCTATCTCAGGCAACCTGTACAGTACACAGCTTTCGTGCTTTTTTGTTTCCAGATTAGTAGCCTGTACAATGCACGATTTTTGTGCTTCTTTTTATTTCTTTATTTCTTTCATCATTTTCTTTTTCTTTTTCATACAGATGTAAATGCAAATGCCATCAGACACTTTATTGACATCATCAATTTTGTTGCCTTCAATCCCATTATGAAACACCAAAGAAAAACAAGGAACAAAGGGAAAAACTAAGGAAAACAAAAAAGATGAAGAGAAATGACTGAATGCATTGACTCATTAGAACTGAGCAGCGAAATTGCCATGCTTATTCAAGCTCAGGACAGCCAAAAGAGAGCACAGTGCCCATTTCCACAGGTTTTTTTTCATACAAAATTGAAATGAAATTAACTATGCAAAAAGTTTTTGAAATGACAAAAATACCATAAATAATAATGATAAAAAAATGATATTAATAAATCTTTACACATTGGCCTGTATGATGGATATATATAATATATATATATATATATATATATTTTCCTGAAAAACAAGTCGCTGGATTTATAACAACATTATCTAAGGGTTAAATAATAAAATTTAGAGTGTTGTTTTTTAAGTCTAGTTAAAATTCTAAGTCTCGTTAATAATATCTAATATTACGCATAATCTCTTTAAAAGTTAGAATCGGTGTTTACATTCATTTTAAATGTTAAATTAAGAGTAAACGGCTTTTTTCCACCCAAGGTTTGGCCTAATGACACTTTTCCACTCAAAATATTTCAAAATGACACTTTACTATCCTATGTTCATTAAAATACAGTGCATACATGTAGTCTTAATTGTGCAAGAACAAAATCTGAGCAACTATAATGCAAAAAGAAGGCTTAATACAGACTGCAAACTGCCACAATCTTTATCGAATCAGCAGCAAATATATACAGGATTTTGTAACAGAAATACGTAACAAACTTGCTAAAAACATTGAACATGACTCCACTAACAACTTATTCACTACTGAGATAACGTATTCCTAAAAACAAGCACATGACCAGCTCTACTTCAAAGACTAAATCTGGAAATACACACGTTTAGCAACTTTCAGCACCAAATCAGCAACCATCCATTATGCAGCAATCCTTGACCAAATCAGCAGCCACCTCATCATGCCAAATCAGCAGTTGAGACATATTCTCAACACTCCTCCTTGGATCAGATGCTGCACATTCCTAGCTTTTCTCTTAGAAACTCAAACCTCATTTTGGACAAGGCCTTGATAAATATATCA